GATTTGTCCGAGGCGCATGAGGGCGCGGTGGGGGGTGGGGGACCCGCGGTGGCGGTGGGGGGAGGGGCGAGTGAGAGGGGGGAGCGGCGCGGCGGCGGCGCGACGAGAGGCGCGCGCCGAGCCTTAGACGTTTGTCTGCAGCATCTCTCCCCGGCTCTCCCCACCTCTCCCCATCTCTCCCCATCTCTCGCGCGCGCCGAGCATGTAGACGTTTGTCTGCATCTCTCCCCACCTCTCCCCACCTCTCCCCATCTCTCGCGCGCGCCGAGCATTAGACGTTTGTCTGCAGCATCTCTCCCCACCTCTCCCCACCTCTCCCCATCTCTCGCGCGCGCCGAGCATGTAGACGTTTGTCTGCAGCACGTCCGAGTAGTCAATGAGCAGGTGGGCGGTCTTCTCTCGCCGGCAGACGGTGTAGAGGCAGGCGGCGATCACGTGCTGCGTCTTGCGGCCCTGGATGAAGTTGTGCTGCGGCGGGAGGGAAGGGTGGGGCCGAGGGGTGGGGAGGGAGGGGAGGGGAGGGAGGGCGGGTGTGCTGTCTCAGCGTGTCCCCGCCTGCACGGCGAGCTGGGAAGTGTCTGGGGAGTGACTAGGAAGTGTCTAGGAAGTGTCTAGGAAGTGTCACCTGCACGGCGAGCTGGAAGAGGCGCTGGGCTGCGTCCTGGTGGTGCTCGGACAGGCGGAGCGCGTTGGCGAGCTGCGAGATGTGGCGCTGGCCTATGGGGCGTGTCTCGGACATGTCATGCACGTGTCCTGGACAGGTCTCGTCTGCGAGATGTGGCGCTGCCGTTGGAAAGGGCGACCTCGCGCGACTCCTTGGCGAAGCCCAGGCCCGACGAGCGGAGCCCGGAGGACGGGACGAACTGGCCAACCACGCCCGAACCGCCGCCCGCCGACGTCTCAAAGGTGACCTCGTTGACGATAGTGTTCTCCTCGAGGACGGTACCGCACTGGATGCACACCGCGTCGCCGCGCGCCGCATCGAGCTCGATGTCCGTGCCGCCGCAGTGGTTGCAGGTCAGGCCGTTCAGGGCCATCCTGAGCGGAGCGGATAGCGAGCAGTGAGTGGGGAGCCGAGCCGAGTGGCTTCGCTGGGGTGGTGAGCAGCTGGTTCACTCGAGAGGCACGGCAGCGCGGGCGGCGGGGAGCGCGCGATTTTTGACGCGGGCGCGGCGCGACGGCACGCAGTTTGCGCGGGAGCACGCAGCACGGCCTTCAAGAATCGCGCGTTTGGGTGGGTGGGAGGCAACCTGCCAAGCGGGCCAACGAAGGCTCGCTCGCTCGTGCGTAAAAGAATTCTTGAAGGGCAAGGGCGCGGACTGGCGCGGACTGGCACATCGTAAAAGAATTATTCGGCGCGCTTAGCTCCCCGGCCCTGGATGTGAGGCTGCCAACTGCACTCCAAGTGCTCCAAGAGCTGTCTTCCCTTGGGTTGTCTCTCTCGAGGTTCTCGAGGTGGATATCCTTTGGCCGCGTTGGGTTGTCTGTTTTCTTTCTTTCTTTCTTTCTCCTTGCGAAACAACGACAAGACCAAGGCACGGGCAGAGGGACGAGAGAAGAATATAGGGTGGATACGTCGGGCCGAAGCCCGTCAGGCACTCTCTCACTAACCCTAGCCTTCTCCCGAACCCTAGTGTGTTTTGTTGCCTCCGTGCTTTCACACTCGTCTCGTCGTGTCCGTCCACTGTGATTGCGGCCGTCCACGACTACGTCGTCTCTAGAGAACGTATCAACCCCCTTCTGGTGCCGACCGCGCCCCCGCGGGGCACGGCCGGACGTGGCAGCGTCAACTGGTCACGACCAGCACTTTGGGGGAGTCCCTTCACGCTATCCCAGATATGGCCGGCGACTCGCTGGCGGGGAGCCTCGGAGAGGTCCCCGCCAAAGATGTCGCAGTCATCGCAAAAGCCGCTTCTGAAGAAGCCACAAAGTGGCTCAAGCGCAACAACGTCGAGGCGGGCGCCGGCACGCTCGCCTATGCCGGCACCCTCCTCAAGGTCAGCACCTCCAGCGACCAGAGGACGCGGACCGGCATCTTCATTCTCATCGCATCAGGGGGCACCGTTTATATCGAACCCCTCTCAAGCAAGGTCATCGCGAGCGACACCGACGCGCTGATCAAGCTGTACCAGCAGTCGGACGCCCCGGAGCGTCGCACGAGCATGTCCGAGTACGTTGAGCTCGCCTTCGCCGACAAGATCAAGTTGCCCCAGCAGTTTGGGGGCCCCGCTACCACCGTCACCCGCACCCTGGTGGACGACGCCGAGCTCAACCGGTTCATCTCCGTCTCACACGTGGACAAGCGCGCCCTCGCTGCGATCAACAACGCCGTCTACCAGGTCCTCCTCGACAAGATCGTCGTCGGCGAGCGGCCCCGCGAGGAGATCATGCGCATCGTCGACGGGCTTCCTGGGCTTGCAACCGCAACCACCCTCCTCGTTGCCCTCTACTCCAAGGTCTCCGGTGCCGACCCCGACCTCCAGGAGCGGGCCTACGAGGAGCTCGCTCGGACGCCCCTCCTCGCCGGCGGCTTCGGGCGGGAGGCCGAGCAGGTCCTCGCCGAGTTCAAGCAGCTGTGGCACGCCGTCATGTGGCTCAACGAGCGCCGCAACCACAAGGCCAAAACGCACCACGAGCTACACCAGCTGCTCCTCGAGTTCATCGGCACCCTCGAAGCGTCCATCCGGGAACGGATCCGGCGCGAGTCCGAGGCCCTGCTCGCCGCGCGCCGCGCCGCCGCCGCCTCTGCCGACGTCGCCACCAAGATCTTGGAGGTCACCGCCACTCTCAGCCCGAAAGAGCGCAACAACGAGAACGGCACCGTCCGTCTCAACCTCCTGATACAGGCCTGCGTCGCCGTCATGGGCAAGATGGACGAGCGGGGCGAGACGTGCTCCTCGCTCGCGAAGGGCCTCGCCGCCGCCGCCTCCGTCCCCGCCGAGCCGCCGTCCGACCCGCTTGCCGCCCTCCTCTCCAACCTCTCGCCGGAGGGCAGCGCCCTCCTTGCCAAGCCCGAGGTGCTGCGGGCCGTCCTCGCCGCCTACTCCCCCGGCGCCCCCGCCGGCGGGCCGTCCTCTACGCTCGTCTGCCTCGTCTGCAAGAAGGACGGGAAGACTGGCGCCGCCGTGCAGCACATGTACAGGCAGTGCCCGCTCCTCCTCAACAAGAACCCTGAGGAGAAGGGCAAGCTCATCGGGGAGGCTCGCGCGCACTACGGGAAGGCTCCCTCTCGCCACGCGCCCGGCGGCAAGGGCAAGGGCAAGCACAAGGGCAAGGACGGCGAGGGCAGGAAGGCCGACCCGAGCAAGCCCCCGCCGCCGCCCTCCCTGCCGCCGGCTCCAGTGCCCTTGAGGGGATTCTCTCGCAGATTGGCGAAGGGGTTCCCCCCGCCAGCCCGCCGCCCTCCCCGCCCGCCCCCCGCGAGACCGTCATGGGTCCCGCCGCCGCCGGGGGCGCCGTCGTCGCTGAGGGCATCAAGGTCGCCGGCCTGCCGGTTACTCGACTATGTCGTTACTCGACTAAGTCGAGGGGGGGGACGTCGGGCCGAAGCCCGTCAGGCACTCTCTCCCTAACCCTAGCCTTCTCCCGAACCCTAGTGTGTTTTGTTGCCTCCGTGCTTTCACACTCGTCTCGTCGTGTCCGTCCACTGTGATTGCGGCCGTCCACGACTACGTCGTCTCTAGAGAACGTATCAACCCCCTTCTGGTGCCGACCGCGCCCCCGCGGGGCACGGCCGGACGGGATAAAGCGCCTGTTCACGGCATGGACAAACAAAACAAAGATAGTAGATAGCGGCATGGAGGGTGAGCCATGCCGAACGCAAGGAAGCTGGGGAAGACGACCCCGAGGAGGACGAAACACCTGTGGTAATTCCGTCGTCAGCTGTCACGATGCACCCGAAGGGGACCCCAGCGCCAGCATCATCCGTGAAGGCACAAGTGTTCAAACACAAACAGCTGCCGACCGAGATGGGCGGGTGCCACCGGCTCTCCTGCTGTGCGGCGCCGCGCCCGCTCCCTGAAGGCTTCGACGCCCTCGCGCGTGACGGGCTGCGGCGGTGGCGGTGGCGGACTCGGCGGCTGCGACCCGTGCCTTGGTCTTGTCAAAAGAAAGAAAGAAAACAGACAACCCAAGGGAGGGATGGGAGGACGGCACGCCGCCACCACACAGGGATTTTAAGGAGAGGAGTGTGATGCGCTAGCCGTCGCCCACCCTAGGGAGTCTGCCTCTTCCTATCTCTTTTCGCAGTCTCTCGCCGATTCTCGCTGCAACCTTCATGCCACCTCGCGGCCGTCCCACTCTCGTCGTTCTCTCCCTTGTCACTTCCTCCTCTGCCTTGGTCTTGTCGTTGTTTCGCCGCGAGCGACAGTTTTTCTTGTTTCGGACACCCGTCCAACGCGAGCGCGCGAGGCGCGCTCCTTCTCCGCTCGCTCAACTCCATCCTCCCGCAACGTTTCGCCGGGCCTAACTCGGCGCTCGGGCCAATGGACGACTCCCCCGACGACACGGTCCAGCTCGACGCGCCGGAGCTCACCCGGCCCGTGGACCGACTGGTCCGAACCTTCTCGTGGCGAGCGAGGCAGAAGGCCAAGAAGACGGACCCGTCGGCGTCGGAGCGTGCGGACGACGTCCCCGACGACGCGACCGCCGCCGCGCCAGAGGACCTGGGCCGCACGCTGACGCGGGTGCTGAGCTTTGGCCGCAGAAACAAGCAGGCGCGGCAGAGCGACGATGGCGGCAAAGACGACGAGGATCTGGATCGGACGACGAGCATGTTTTCGGGGCCGCGTCGCGCCTTCTCGCTCACGCGCCGGCCGGCGGCCTCGGCGGGCACGCGCTTCTCCGCGCTCCGTCTCAGCGAGACGGAGCATGTCTACGGGCCGCTGCAGGTGCGGCGCGCCGAGAAGCGCGGCCAGAAGCCCGCGCCGCGCTACTGCGTGCTGGGCAAAGAGACGTGCGTGCTCACCTGGTACGCGACGGCGTCGACCGAGGCGCCGAGCAACGGGCAGCGGCCCGACGGCAGCTGCACCATCGCACTCGCCGACGGTGCGCCGGCGACGCCCGACCTCTTCCATGTCCAGTCGCACGAGGGCGAGGCGCGAGACACTTCCGAGACACTTCCGAGAGACGGCGCCCCGCAGCCCGACTCCCTTCCCTCGCGGCCTAGCTCGTCAGTTAGTCTGGAAGGTGGGTGCAGAGCAGCCAGAGGCTCGGACTGGACACACACACACACACACACACACACACACACACACACACAAGATACTCCGCCAGCTGGGCTTCCACACATCCCGATAGAGAGGTGAAGAGCAGCCGCGCTCGAGTGGCGGGCGGCTCGTTCGAGGACACGTCCAGGACACGTCCGTGGCATGTCTCGCACAGGCGTTCGAATGCCGGGCGGCGTCGGCCGAGGAGGCGGCGCGCTGGAAGCGGTCGCTCGACGCCATCACGTCGCGCGCCATCTCTGGCTACATCCAGATCAAGGGGCGGAGGGGCTGGAAGCGGCGGTGGGTCCTGTTCCAGCCCCTCTGCAAGAAGCTCTGCATCTACCGCGCCCAGCCGCTGGTCGCCCACTCGGCGGGCACCTTTGCAGACGCGCACATCTACCAGCAGCCGGGGTACCGCGCGCACGGCGAGGTCAAGTGGGCCGCGCGGAGGCCGTCGCCGTCGCAGCCGTTCGGCTTCTCGATCTTCACGCCCGACGAGGGCCAGTGGGAGCTCGCCGCGCCGACCGCCAAGGAGATGCGCCGCTGGCTCGACTCGCTCCCCATATTCGACCCCGAGGCGGCGGTCGCGCCGACGCCGCGCGGGCACGCCGGCGGCGGCGGCGGCGGCGCGGACGGCTTCGCCAAGCCGCTCGCCACCGCGCGCAACCTGCACAAGAACATCGTCAACGCGATCGGCGAGGAGTACCACGCCGAGAAGGAGCGGCGCCAGTCCGTCCGCCTCTCGCTGCGCTCCTCCGTCTCCTCGTCCGCCCCGACGTCGCCCGCGAGAGAGTCGCCAGCCTCGAGCCCGGCCAAGGTCGGCGCCGGCGCCAAGAGCGCGGCCGAGCCCGCCCCGCTCGCCGAGGTGAGCGACAGCGCGAGCGAGAGCGACGACGACGACGACGCCGACAGCGCCGCCGCCGAGGCGCCCAAGCCGCTCCAGCTCGGCATCTCGGGGCGTGACCTCGTGACGCACGCAAAGCCGGTGCTGCCGCTCGCCGAGGCGGGCGGCGGTTTTCTTTTTCGACGCGTGTTTTCTGTTTTCTATAGGTGCTGCCGCTCGCCAAGCGCATCGAGACCGTGATGGGCGAGCCGCGGACCAGGTGCTCCGGTTACATGTCCAGGACACGTCCAGGACATGTCCGAGACATGTCCCATAGGCGACGCGGAGCAGGTGCTCCGGTGACATGTCCAGGACACGTCCAGGACATGTCCGAGACACGTCCCATAGGCGACGCGGAGCAGGTCGCCGGCCTCATACAGCTCGCGACGCCGCGGCAGGGCTCTGCGGCGGCGGCGGGCGCCATCACGCCGCGCTCGAACCGGCTGGTGAGCGACCAGCTGCGGCAGCTCGAGGAGATGCGGCAGCAGCTCGAGGCGCTGCGCAACGAGAACCGAGAGCTCAAGCTGCAGACGGGGGGCGAGCTCTCGGCGGACCAGGACGAAAAGGTGCTGCAGGAGTTCCTCGTCAAGCTGCGCGCCGTCCTCGAGATGCGCTCCGAGGGGCGGTTCGAGCAACAGCTCTTCGACGAGTACAACGGCGGGCCAGACCTCGGCTCTACCTCGGCTAGATCTCGGCTCTACCTCGGCTCTGCTTCGGCTAGATCTCGGCTAGATCTCGGCTCTATCTCGGCTCTGCCTCGGCTCTACCTCGGCTAGATCTCCCCGCCTTCCGGCAGGCGGGCTCGTGCAGCTGTCGGACGAGCACTTGCGCGAGCTCTACTCGAGCTTCATGCTCATCTACGTCGAGGAGTACGACGAGGCCGTCCTCGAGCGGCTCGGCATTGGCGCGCGCCCTCTAGGCGGCACCCCACGCCCTCGCCGCACCCCCGCGCCGACCGCGCTCCTCCTCCTCCCCTCCTCGCCACAGGCGAGCCCGACGAGACGACGGTGGGGCTCGCGGAGATGATGACGATCAAGCTGTGAACAGCGTCTCTTCACACCTCTTGCTGTGAACAGGTGGGGTTCGCGGAGGTGATGACGATCAAGCTGTGAACAGCGTCTCTTCACACCTCTTGCTGTGAACAGGTGGGGTTCGCGGAGGTGATGACGATCAAGCTGTGAACAGCGTCTCTTCACACCTCTTGCTGTGAACAGGTGGGGTTCGCGGAGATGATGACCATCAAGCTGGGCGAGCTGATGGACCACTCACCAGGACATGTCCATGACATGTCCGAGACATGTCCGAGACATGTCCATAGGCGAGCTGATGGACCAGCCGCGGCAGGTGCGCATCCAGGCGTTCCAGGCGGCGCAGAAGAAGAAGGAGGACCAGGCAAAGGAGCTGCTGAAGAAGAAGGAGCGCGAGAAGGAGGAGGCGGCGAAGATGGCGGCGCAGGTCGCAGTCAACGGCCGCATCGCCAGCTCGATGAAGAAGTACTGGGCCGCGCTGAGCAACGGCGAGGGCGACGTGTCCGAGGTGCGCCGCTTCCGGCGTAAGCCTGAGCTGGGCCTGCTCGTCTCGAGCACCGAGGACATCAAGAAGATCTCGCCGTACAACTGGCGAAACATGGGCTGCTCCGGCCTCACCGAGCAGGAGCTGCGCTGCCTCCTCGTCCGGCTCGGCGAGCCGGGCATGCCCGGCCAGGCCGACGAGTTCAAAAAGATGATCATCGCGCGGCTCGGCACAAAGAGCCCCACAGACGCGCAGGTGCTCGCCATGTGCAGCCCGCCGGGCGCCGCCAAGGCGCCGCCGCCGCCGCCGCCGCCGCCGGGCGGGCGCGGCGCAGGCGCACCGCGCGCGCCGGGGGCGCGGGCGCCGCCGCCGCCGCCGCCAGTCCCGGGCGGGCCTCGGCCGCCGCCGCCGCCGCCGCCGCCGCCCGGCGGGCGAGGAGGGGGGCCGCCACCGCCCCCGCCTCCGCCGCCGCCGCGTGCACCTCCGCCGCCGCCGCCGCCGCCGCCGCCGCCTGGAGGGGGCGCGCCGGCACCCAGCGGCGGGGGAGGGGGGGGAGGCGGCGGCGGCTCGGACCCGCAGTCGGCGCTCTTTGCGGCGATCGCGGCGCGCAAGGAGAAGCAGGAGGCGCGGATGCGGGCGATCGAGGCTGGCGAGATCGAGGTGGAGGACCCGCGCGAGAAGCGGCTGCGGGAGCTGAAGGAGAACAAGCCGGCCAAACCGGGCAAGGGGGCGGGGGGCAAGGCGGCGCCAAAGCCCAAAGCGGTTGCAGCGCCGCCAGCCAAAGCCAGCGCCGCGCCGCCTCGTCCGGCGCCGCCGCCGGCTCCGGCCGCCCCCCGGCCTCCGCCGCCGGCGCCACCGCCACTGCCGGGTGGGCGAGGGGGGCCGCCTCCGCCACCGCTGCCACCGGGAGCGCCCCCGCCGCCGCGCGCGCCCCCGCCGCCTCCGCCGCCGCCGCGTGCACCTCCGCCGCCGCCGCCGCCGCCGCCGCCGCCGGGAGGGGGCGCGCCGGCGCCCAGCGGCGGGGGAGGGGGGGGAGGCGGCGGCGGCTCGGACCCGCAGTCGGCGCTCTTTGCGGCGATCGCGGCGCGCAAGGAGAAGCAGGAGGCGCGGATGCGGGCGATCGAGGCTGGCGAGATCGAGGTGGAGGACCCGCGCGAGAAGCGGCTGCAGGAGCTGAAGAAGCAAAAAGCAGCCGAGGCGGCAGCGAAGAAGAAGAGTGCAAAGGCGGCGGCCGCAAAGAAGTGACGCGTGAGGGCCGTTTTGATGATTGGGGTTGGGAGCAGAGAGAGAGAGAGAGAGGTGGATATTCGCGTCTCATGTCTCGAAGCGATACTAAACCACACTTCAATACATACACACACACTATATATCTCAGTTGGTGGTGCGACTGAGGTATGTATATGCAGACCTCTCGCCCGACCTCCGCGTCGCCGTCGGGCGAGGAGACCCCGAGGACGACGACGAGGACGCCGACCGCTCCGAGGAGTATTCCGACGACAGGAGGGTGTCCGACTAGCTGGCCTCACCCATATCTTACCCCTTCTGCCCCCCCCTCCTCCGACCCCCCAGGCTAGATGGAGTAGTCCACTCGATTCCCGCCCCCCAGCACGTTGGTGCCTGCAGCTAGTCGTGTGTGCGCCCCCACATAATGACAGTACCACCCCGCTCCCTGATCCCCGCCGACGTGATGATTGATGTGCGTGTAGACTGACCGCGCGCACACGGGACACTACTTTTGAGACTCCTGCGCCTGAAAGCCGCACTACCGACGAACCAGCAACCGTTGGCTCACGGTGCTGCGGCGCAGGGCCTCAGCCGCTTCCGCAGCTCGCCCACCTCCCCGCGCAGCTCTTCATTCTCGCTTCTCAGATCTGCATTGCCCTTCCTGAGCTCGCTCGCCGACTGCCAGCGGTGTGGCTCCTCGCCGAGCGAGATGCGTACAAGCAGGTGGCACATCTCGATGCGCGTGCCCCGCCTCGAGCGCAGCTGCAGCGTGCGGTAGCCCTGCCGCAGCCGCCCGAGCACCGCCGTCTCGAACGCCACCTCGGTGCTGGCCTCGCCGTCCAGCACCGCCACCCGAAGGATGGTCTCGTGCGGCTCGGCCGCCAGCAGGTGCACCGTTTCTCCGAAGCAGGCACTTAGCCCGCCCTCAGCGGCGGAGGTCATGTGCTCCGTCTTGACGCGAGGGGAGGGTGGAAGCTCCGTCCCAACAGAACAGAAGCCGCCGATCGTGTGAAGTGATACGTGCACACGTGGCGACGAGGCTTCGACCGCCCTCGGCGGCCTCCAGCAGCCGCTCAGCTCAGAGGCATACGCGTGCGATGCTCCGTGCGCGCCCTCTATTCGAGGCCTCTCTTCGCCTCTCAGAGGCAGCCCATGCAAGCTTAGCAGATCGATCGTCACGCGCCGGAGCGACTCGCGCCGCGGCGGCCAGCCCTGCCCGTTGACCATCGCCTCGGGCTTCAGCACGTAGCCGCCCGTGTCCTCAAACAGGGCGTAGTGGAGTTGTGCAGGCAGGTCGGGGACGGTGTTGCATAGATTGAGAGCCACGTGCTGCGCCCCCGTGCGCCAGCAGCGGAGCGGGTCCATGTTCATGCCCGAGAAGCGAGGCCCGAGGGGGAACGCGCGCACAAGATGCGCGGCCGTTTTGCGCTGCATTGCGTGAATGCCTTGAGTTGCCCGGTACTCCCTATCGCAAAGGCGCGCGCTTTCACCATAGTCACCGGCATTCGTCGTGCTCGGAGCAGCGACGCCCGCTGCCTCCTCAAGCAGCTCCTCGCCGATGGAAGATATCGGCAGCGCAAAGCCGTACTCGCCCGATTTGTCGCCGAGAAAGTCCTTGGCGGGGACGGTGCGGATAGCAACGTGTCGCAAAAACTGCGGATCCATCTTCTCTCCCGCCCTGGTCGGCGCATCGCCATCAGCGTTGGAGTCCAGACTGTCAATTGAGCGTCCGCTCCGCTGCACGATGTCACCAGGTTCCTCCTTCCTTCGTCGCTTCACCTCCTCGACCATGTCCTTGTCCTTGCCCTTGCACAGCACCCTGCCTCTGAGCGCCTCGACCGAGATCCCCGATGACGGCATGGCCCCAATCATGGCCTCCAGCTGGCTGTAAGAGAGCAGCCTGTCGCCGAATGCAGCGACGAGCATCTCGGCTATCTGGCGCTGGCCCTTCTTTCCGCAGTGCATCTCGAGGGATAGGATCACGGGTAGATCGGACGTGACGAAGGCGCTCTCTGCGATCGCAGACACCACGACAACGAAGGTGTCTGTGGTACAAAAGGTGTGCCCGTGCGTGACGACTGGTGCCTTTGCATAGGATGGAAGGCGGCGGCGGTCCCAGCAGTCGATTTCGACATGGCGGCAGCCCTGCAATAGCTGTCGCTGGTACGCCTCTCGCGTCGAGCGGCCGGTGAGCTGGTCTCCGACGATGTACGAGTTGTGGCTCGTCGCGACCCAGTAGTGCGCGAGCGGCCGCGATAGGTCCGCGGTGTAAACGCCGGGAGGCACCGCTCGGTTCTCCAGGGAGAGGAGGAGCATCGCGAAACGCATGTAGCACAGCTGGTTGCTGTCAGAGGCGCAGGCTCGAACAAAGGCCTCACGAAGAGCAGATGGGTCGCCACCGCCCTGCTCGGCTTCGTTGAAGGCGACCCAATCCACAAAGTCCATCCCGTCATCGGCCGTTGAGTAGCGGTCGTAGAGCTGCCGAATCTCGCGCTGTGCAGTGTACCCGTGCAGCAGCACGTGCGACACCTGAAGTGTGCCCAGGCTGCCGTTGCTCGGAAGCAGCCAGCACGGCAGCTCCGCCGCTCGTGCTAGAAGCAGCGCCCTTGACATGAGTTCCGTGCTATAGGCGGCAAGCTCTTTGCGCCGTCTGATCGAGTTTGTCGAGGCTGAGAGGTCGCCCAATGCTGGCGTCGCCTCGCGCCGGTGGAGGTGACGAAGGCTCGAGCCGAACGCAGAGAGACGCTGTAGTCTTTGGTACATAAGCTGGAGTCTTTGGTCAGGGCCTGCCATACCCGGGCGAAGCAGGCGCTGTCCTTCAGTGCCGCACGCCAATGGAGAGCCACGACAGCCGCCGCCGGTAACAAAACGCCACGCGAGGCTCAAGAATCTCTCGATCACACAACCCTTCTTTCTCTCTCGATCTCTTGCGCGCGTGGGCTCTCCCTTGCCAGCGCGCGCCAGTCCCGTGCGCAGTCGCTCGTAAAATTCTTTGTTCGCACTGTTCTAAGGAAGCCGTCGTCTGCGCCTTGTTAGTGCCAGCGCGCGCCAGTCTCGTGCGTGCACTTGGAGCGATGGGTTCAATTCTTTGTTCGCCCGTCCTTCAGTTCGGTTCTTGTTGATGGGCCTCTGGGGAGAGCTCTCCGAGGGCTTCAAGGAGTTCACGAGCCAGCTGCGCGAGGACACGGAGGTTGTGCGCGAGGCCGCCAAGCAGGAGGTCGAGAAGGTGCGCGGCGCAGCCGAGGCGGCCGACCTCGCAAAGGCGCGGCAGGCGCTCGCCTCCAAGGCGTCGGGTCTGGGGCAGCACCTCGAGCCGGCGCGGCTGCTCGAGCTGGGCGCCGTCGTCTTCAAGGACCTCGAGGGCGCCATCACGCAGGCCGACGTGGCGGTCGGCGCGTTGCTCGAGCAGACTGCCGCGCGGGTGGCGGGCGGCGGCGCGGGCGGCGGCGCGGAGGGTGGGAGAGCGGACAACTCCGAGGCTGCCCGCGCGCGCCACCGCGAGCGCGAGCGCGCGATCGCCACCAACCACGCCAACTGGACCCGCCCGGTCGCCGACGCGGCCGGCTTTGCCGCCTTTTGCGACGGCTTCGAGCTGCTCGCGCACACGGAGAGGATAGAGGCGCTGCTGCGCGAGCAGCCGCCGCTGCGGGCGACGCACCAGGCCCTGGTCCCGGCGGTCCTCTCCTACCGTGTGTTTTGGGAGCGGTACTTTTACGAGGTGGAGCTGCTGCAGCGCCAGGTGCTACTGCGCCTGCGAGGGCCGGGGGCGCCGCCGCTCGTCCCTTCCCTCCGCCCTCCCGCTCTCCTCCCCTGCAACGCTCCTCCCCTGCATCGCTCCTGCAACGCTCCTCCCCTCCTCTCCCCGCGGCGCCCCAGACGCGCGCCTGCCCCGCGTCGGCAGGAGAAGAAGCGGCAGGCGCTGCTTCGCCCGCCGTCAAAGGCTCAGCCCGCACCGCAGCTCTCCTGTCCAGGACACGTCCAGGACACGTCCGGGACATGTCCGCAGGCGCAGCCCGCACCGCAGCTCTCCTGTCCAGGACACGTCCATGACACGTCCGGGACATGTCCGCAGGCGCAGCCCGCACCGCAGCTCTCCTCTTGGGGCGAGGACGACCCGTTCGCCTCGTGGTGTGGTGCACGTAGGATGCAACCCACACTCTCGTGGGACGACCACATCGCCTGCACGTCACGACCCTTAGCCCTTCACACCTGCCGCTGCGCCTCTTCGCACCTGCCGCTGCGCCTCTTCGCACCTGCCTCTGCGCCTCTTCGGTTCTGCCTCTGCGCCTCTTCACAGCTGCCCCTCTGTCTCCAAGGTCCGACGAGCCCGCACCGCGCACAAAGCAGCCCGCCAAGCTGCCCGCACCGCTGCCGAAGAGGGCTCCGCCCGCCAAACCTTCTCCGTCGCCCGTCCCTCTCCCTCTCCCTCTCCCGCCCGCGCCCGCGCCCGTGGCGAGGAGCGAGCGGACAGGGCTCGACCCGATAGCTGCGACGGCGGCGGTCAGCAGCCGAGCAGCAGCCTCCACCGAGCCGCACGGCCAGCCTGCCCGCCCGCTGCCGCGCCGCTCTCTCGGCCGAGCCGAGCCGGCGGCGCAGGGCTATGAGGCCGCCCCACCTGCTACGGGCGGCGCGGCGGCGGCGGCGGCGCCGGCGGCGGCGGCGGCGGCGGCGGCGGGAGGAGGAGCCTTAGGAGGGGCGGCTGTCGGCGCGGCGGCTGCAGCGGCCAGGCAGGCCGGCGAGGAGGGCGCGAAGGGAGGAGGGGTGCCGCCGCAGGGCGAGCGGGCGGGCGGCGAGCGGGCGGCGGCGCGCGCAGCGCTGGAGCGGCGCGAGGCCCCTCTGCTGCGGGGCGAGGAGTGAGCAGGGTCGGGGTGGAGTTGGTAGGCGAGGAGCCCCAGCACAAGGCCGGGCGGGAAGAAGGCGCACGGCCCCCTTGCCCTCGACTCGTCGGCCGCGCAACATATTGGAATGTCAAAGGGCAAAGGACGAGCAGGGTCACTCTTACATAGGCGCAGGCGCGCTCCTCCGCCGCGAATGAATGAATTATGAGGAATGAAAACAGTACATGATTGACTAGGCGCATTCCTCCGCCGCGTCGACCGTCTCGGAACGACCTCTCGCTCGCCCCGCACCCCTCCCGGAACCGTCCACGAGCCTTCTCTCGGAGCTTTGCTGTAGGACGACTTCTCGCTCGCCTCGTCCGCGTCGCTCATCGACCCCCCGTCCGAGGTACACCCCCGTCCGAGATGCGCCGAGAGAGGGGTGTGCAAGAGAGGACTGAGATCGAGATGCGCCGAGATCGAGCCTCTGCCGAGCTTCTGCCGAGCCCTGCCGAGGCTCTGCCATCCGCCGCAGTACGCGTGGGAGGAGGCGTGCACACGACATGTCGACGACACGTCCGTGACTTGCGCCTGACCTGCCCCGCAGGACGCGTGGGAGGAGGCGTCAACCGTCTCGTGCGGCGCCGAGGAGTGCGCCGAGCCGCCGCCGCTCCACTCCGCCTGCTCGCTCACGCTGCAGCCGCCTCCGGGCGAGGAGGAGGAGGACTGGTGCGCAGCCATGCCGCCGCCCCTCCTCCACTCCGCGCCTCCTCCACGCCGCCCCTCCTCCACTCCGCCCCTCCTCCACTCCTCCCCTCCTCCACTCCGCCCCTCCTCCCCTCGTCCACACCGCTCCTCCTCCACACCGCTCCTCCTCCACACCGCGGTCTCCGCCTCTTCTCATGCATCCGCTCGCCTCGCGCGCCAGGGGCGACTGGGAGTAGCTCGCCGCGCAGCGCAGCTGACAGGCGGCAGCGTGGTGGTGCGTGGGGGCGGGGCGGGGGGGGGCGAGGTTGGCGCAATCTAGTCGACAGCGCTCAGAGCCTGACGGACGAGGACTCCGCGCCGCCTGACGAGCTACGGATTGCGCTGCATGAGATGTGATGCGTGTGGGTGAGTGATGGTGTGTGTTTGTCACACCCGATTTCGGTGTGTGTGTGGGAGTGGCACTGTATAGGATCCGCAGCCACAGCGCCCCAAAATCCACCAGTGTGGGATTTCGCCTTTTCGCGCGAGATCGCTTTGAGAAGCGCACCAGACTCTCTCTGAAAAAGCTCGCATGCATCTAGATGCACCTCTCTCCTGTGCGAGTGTGCACTGTTTTCGCGGGAGCAGGTTTCAGCAGTGAATCAGAGCGCAGAGCGGCCACCCAGAGTGCGGTGTGTCGTCGAGACTCGAGTGTGTGCCAGACTGCTGACACTTTCTAGCTTTTGCACGGCCGACTACACGGTGAGCCATAGAGTACGGACCTTGCAGAAAACCTTTTCCTTCTAAGCAGGGCTACACAATGACCCTATAGTGTGGGGGTGTTTCTGGCGAGTTGTGATGAGTAGGATTAGACTAGCCAATGGTATTTTGAAGTTCATATATGAAAATACCAACTTGCCTATGTGCACGTCTCCGCGGCGGCGGCCCGGAGGCGGCCCGGCGGAGCGGTCAGAGCAGCACTGCGCCGGCCGGCGATCGACTCTCGACTATAACACGGGCTCTATTGAATGGCCTCAAGGTGCTCTCTAGGGCTGCCCTATTCCGCTCGCCCGGCTACGTCGCTGAGCTTCGAAGGAAAAGGTTTCGCTCGGCACGCGGAGCAAACTTCGACGTTCGTCCGATAGTGGAAGCTGGACGCACGTAGGCAAGTGGCCCATGACCAGGCGGGCTGCTGCTCATAATCTGGGCCGTCGGCGCTCGCTCTCGCGCTCTTCATAACGGCTTTGCCCCCTCCCTCCCGCGCCGACGTTGGGCAGCCTGACCACGACAACGCCAGTGCCGCTGGCCTGCAACTCGAGGCGCCTTTGAATGAGCACGAGCCGGTGCGCGGCGGCGGCGCGGGTGATGCAGCCCAAGGTGACGGCGACGGCGGAGGGGGCGGCGGCGGCGGCGGAGGAGGCGGCAGCGGCGGCGATGGCCGCGGGGTCGGCCCGCCCGCCTTTGCTGCTGGTGCTGTGGGCATCATCACAGCTCAGCGGCGGTGTGCGACCAGGGCCAGTGGTAGACTTTCGACGCGGTGAGGCTGCTCTCTGAGCGATGACACTAGCAGGAGCATCATGTGTGTCATCGGAGTCACTTGTATTACGATACCACCACGCCGCCACGCTCGCAAGGGCCGCCTAAGCGCCTAAGCACCCTAAGCACCCCCCGCTTAGGCCGCTTAGGCGCTTAGGCGAGTGACGGCCGGCTGCCAGGGGCCTGGCGTGCCTCCGCCGTGGGCTGAGCACCCGGGAGAGCCACTCTGCAAGTGGTGTGCGAGCGTGTAGCCTTGAGCGTGCAGTCGGCCGCACACACACACATCAGATCAATGCATACATCACGAAAAACACCGCCGACACGTGCACGCGACCCACAACATGATACATGTGTGCGTATCGACTATCGTACGTACAGCTGACGTCGCGACTCACTCGCGGCCCAGCCGGCGGCCCGCCACTCCCGTGCCGAATCGTCCCCTCGCCGGGGCCGCGCCGACTCCCCTCTGCCGTGTCTCCTCGCCGCCGCCGAAGAGGGCGCTGGCGACGCAGCAAGCCACGCCCCACGCGAAGCCGGTCAGGTGCGCCGCGTGGGCGACGGAGAGGCTCTCGC